GACGACGACGACGACGACGACGACGGACGACGACGGACAATCACTCATATGATAAGCTCCGCTCGACAAAGTCGACAGCGGAGCTAAAAATATAAAAAATTAAAAAAATTGACACCATACTGACACCAAATTTTAATGTAATTTAAATGTAAACAGTTTATAATAATACAGTGGTATATTTATAAGTGTAAACATGTCTTTGCATTGAACATGTCAAAGTTTAGTTCAAATTTTGCAAATGAACATGTTCGAGATCATGTGACATATCCGGTGATGATTGCTTGAATATGCAATAATATTTTTTTTCAAAATTTAATATAGAATCGTTATCATGGAAAAGTATTTTGTTTTTAAACAAATATGACTTTCCAGCAGTAGTTGAATTCCTTTTGATGATATATTAGTTTTTGATGAACATCTGAGGTGACAAAAACTGACTGACCAAGCAACATCTACCTTGCTAATGATAGAACTCTACAACTCTGAGAAGTTGAACTCTGCTTTATTTGCATATGCAAATGAGGAAATATTTTTTAGACTGCAAAGTGTTTGTTGCACAGACTTTACTGACAATGGCATCATTTAAGAATCTAAAAAAGAATCCAAAACTTGAAATGTTTCACTTAGCTCTCACAACAGTGACCTTTTGCCAACATAAACAGCGGGCATAACTATATTTACCTTTAGCCTCAGAGCATACTGCAAGAAAACCGTCATCTTTCAACAACTTGAACATTGGTCGAACACCAAATAAATCTCTACCGAGGAATACCTGTCAAAAAGACAAATCAGAATTTCTATGACAACCATTAAATGACATCAACCTTTCCTAAAGATACAGTTGCTAGTCTAAACACAGTAGTGTGCCGACATAAACTATCTGGTCACGTCAACGTCAAATAATAATTAATGAAGGCATTCAACTCTTTTCTGACACAATTATAACCTGATAAGAATTCTGCACAATACTGATACAATGTCAATGAACTCAAGTTTGACTGAAACACCATATTTGCTCTATTACAAGCACACATAAAACCAAAAATTACATTAACAATTGTATGCTGAATCTTGTGTCACAGCTGTCATGAAAATACATACAAACACACATATACACTGCATGGGTCCCATGTCAAATGTAATTTTTCTAGCAGCAAGAATTTATCAGGGCTCATGTGTAAGTGATTTTCACAAAATTTTTTCATTGTGAATGACATCAATTTAGCAAATCACATACCTGTGTCATTTACATAAGCGCATACAATGAAAATTGGGCTAGCAAGGGTTTTTCTAGAAAAAAACTGCAAGAGGGAGTACTGCAATTCAGCGTAGGGGAGATAGGGTTCTTCCTACCAGGGTGTGAAGTTTTTGATAGTTCTAAATTAAAATGGAACGTTCTATGGCTTCATGGGGGCCAACATTACTATCAGACAGGTTATAGTTGAAGACTGTGGCCACATGTGATCTCTGGTCAATCAGAATTTTATGGTTGCCAGAGGATCTGCTCCCCAGGGTAAGGGGCGCATGGCCATGGCATGAGGGCACTGCGCCCCTGTTCCCTTGTTTAAAAAAATCACTGGGCTAGTAACGTACATTTATTCACATTTGTATGCTATCATGATTCAAAGTTATACACTGACAATTGACTGCAAATGCTACTGAGCAAAGAATGTACGAATGACACAAGTGAACTCACATAAAAAATAATAAATACATTTACGAATGATGTATGATTTCAATGAGATCTTCATCATATATCGAGAACGGTTGTGTGAGATACACTGTACTTTGGATAATGTATTTACCTTTCTATTTGCAGTGTCTAAGAGAATGAATGCAAAGACACCATCCAGCAAGGACGCTGCGGCTTCTATGCCACCCATGGCATATAGATGAATGATAGCTTCCCCATCGCACTCTGTCAAGTATTCAAAATCATACTCCTTTTGCACCTGCCAATAACGAGAAAATTATTATCAGTTCTGTTATTATATTATTTATGTTATTAATTATATTAAATATAACGAAAACTGTAAGAAACTATACATGTAACAGATGATATTATTAACAAGTGAACATGTTTAGAAATCAACATACCTTTTTGTAGTTGTAAATTTCCCCATTATAACATAACCATATATGGGGGTGGGAATGGACCCTCATTGGCTGCATTCCATACAAGTCATCAACAATGGCCAATCTGTGGAACCCAAAACAACAGTTGTTGTAATGATTGACATTCTCTATACGAAACGCATCTGGGCCACGGTGGGCAATCTTGAGTGCACTCGCGCACTGTTTTGACACATCTTCGTCTGCACCAAATATAGCCCATATACCACACATCTTGTCTGAAATTTAATTTAAAAAAACCTTATTACTGGATTCTGTTGTTTAACAACAGATGAATGCTAGATTTAGATGATTAGTACTAAGTAGGTATGTGCACTTTTACAATGACATCATAGTTGCATTGTATTATGGGATATGAGTGTATGAAAAACAACAGTGAAGGTGTTCATGTTGGGTAAATCAGCCACTGTACAAAAATGTCCATGGTATCTGTATTCTCATCATTTCTAAGCCATCAGACTGAATCGGATCAGAAATGTAATATTCTGAGGAACCTGATCTGTACTTTTGGGGTGATTAAAAATGAATGTTATTTTTGCCTTGTAATGCCCATAATACTCGTAACAAAGAGTACTATCTACCTGCATTTTCCTATAAAGACCATTAATATTACAAATTTAAAATAATTCTGGTGTATACTACTGTAAAATCTGTATTAGAAACCGCGGCTTCTATTAAAATGGTACAATCCAATAGAGGGGGTGTGGCTTCTATTAGAGCATCTACACTTATGAGAAATAATGAATTTTTGATTCTCAATTATTCAAAAAGTTTGGGTGCGACTTCTATTAGAGATGCGGCTTCTAATACAGATTTTACGGTAGTATTTATAATTTGATTTAGATTATGAAAATTGACTTTCCTCAGCATTTTCCAGAAATACTTTTTTTCACTATACCATATTTGTCCTATTAGAAATGCACATGAACTAAAAATTTCTTCTATTGTATGCTGGATCATTTATATAACTTACGTCATTTACAATACCCACATGAGATATAAATAGAGCAAATATGGTACAGAGAAAAGAATGAAAAACAATGGCTCTCAACGTGTCAAACCATTCATAATTAATATTAATGTATTTATGAAATACACATATGTATCCAATTTAATTATATAAATTAATTCCAGCTAAAATAATGTATTCTACAGTATTCAAGGTTCATTAAAAACTCAAAGAAAGATTGGGGAGGGGACTACGCACACAGAAAAGTTTGAGAGAAAAAAATGACTTGGAGGGAAAATGACCAAAGATTATGTCCATTTGGTTGCAGGGTCACAGAGGACGAATATCAATTTACTATGGTTTGTCCAAAATATGAAGCACTTAGACAAAAATTCTTACCAAAATATTATTTTTCACCACCAACCAAGATGAAATTCATTGCATTGCTACAGAGTACTAACTCGTTTATTTTACTAAGTTTGGGTAAATATTTGTTTAAGAGTTTTCATTACAGAGAAACTGAAATGGAAGTATGATTTGAAGTATATGTACCTTGTAATTTTAAAGCGACCGTGTGTAATTTAAATTTTGAAATGTAACAGTACTTTAGGCCAGTGGCCATATAGTGCGGAATAAAGAAATAATAAATAAAATGACTTGGAGGAAGGGAACTAATATACACTTGAAAGGATAGCAAACAAAATTACTGCCACACCATCCTGAAATTAACAAAACAATTTGCTGTTTTTCTACTATTTTCTAAAGTTCATCTATTTAGTGTGTAGCACATACCAGTACAAATGTATGGATTTTTTAATGTATCTGTGAACTGCATGCATGCATAATATCCAATTGTTTTAAAACACTAATCATCTTGTGTTTTTCGTCAGAACAATGTCTATCTTAAACACAACAATAGATATGAATGTAAAACATTACAAAGGGTGCAATTTATGTATAACATCAGAATATATTTAATTTTGAATGGTTGTTTTGCAGTGAATACCAAATTATTTCAACACCACTTTGATCTTTCTGAAAAGATGTTTAGTATGACACTAGTTTGCACAAAAACGAATAAAAATCTGAATCTATATAACATAACATGTCTTAATTTTATTTTAACTATTTTCTAGTAGTTCGTTTAAAATGCATATGCATCCCGTTTTTAAAGGTGGCATTGTAAACTGGTGTAAACAGTTTTCACTGCAGAGAAATGGTTTAGTAATGTCTAATTTTTTGAAAATATTATATGATTTTTGTATTTCGCTATACATCAATTTAATCAAACAATGGAGATGCGAGAAAACGATTCACCATACTTCAGTTATAGCATGGACCTACTACGTGGTTGGGTGAATGAGATGCACATCGTTCCAAGGATGATTTATTGTGACCATTGTAAGCCTCCATGGCGTGATCACAGCAAATAGCAAGCACAATTCGTGTGTTTTTCATGGGTTTTAGCCTGTTTCAAAGGTCATCCATGCTTCTCATGCGTAAACCACGTGTTCAAGGTTCAAATTATTTTGTAAATATAACATGTTTCGTGATAATATATCGGTATCAATGAACACTGCACACTGGTAGCCACTGATAAATATGCAAGAATGTCTTAGAGTATGCGATGCAATAGTACGTACCATGATGACAACAAGGCCACGATAAGTAGCAGTCTATTTGTAAGTGACCGAGTGATGCTTTACAATGGGTAATTAATTACGTAACACCAACTACCGCGAGTGAAACCCGCAATACAAGGCTGTGCATTTTATCCACTACGTCCACTACGCAAGCTTACAACCGAAGTAGCCACGTGTTATAAACTGGGGTTATAAAACACTGCATTGCATTTGATGCGATCGATTCGTGGTGATATGTTAGGAATGTTATAAGATCGGGAAAATTGTCGTCATTGATAATCATACTCAACACAAAACCGCTATTAGCAAGATCGATTAGGATGTTCCAGATGGCAGAGAAATTCCTCGTAATCCCGTAATCCAAAAACATGGAACATCAGCCATTATCGCCGCGAATGCGACGGTCTTGAGTTAGTACTTACCGTTTGTATCTCACGTAAACAAAATAGAGAGATGTCGAACAAATACCACTATCTTGACACCTAGCACGGCAATAATACGCTACCAGCTGGCTTGGACCTATTGTATACCACACCTCTCCTACGATCAATGAAAGAAAAACAACACTGGTTGCATCATTTTCGAGATATCAACCAATCACAGTATGACGAATACAAGGTCATCCAAGGTCGCACAGAATGCGTCGCTCTCATTGGACAAATCGTACGTACCTCTATGGCGGGAAATGTGCGTATGTCAGCTGAAATACAAACATAAAGTACGTGTACTTCGTGGATTACCCCGCGAAAATAAAAGGAATTAACATGCTAAAATTATTGTTGGTAATTTTATTTTAGATTTTTTTTTAATTTTATTATTTTAAGAGAAATCCTGGTCAAACCAAATGAAAAATACCCACCGTGATACTATCCTCTGGATTGGATGGTAGATGGTAGCTCGCACCGTGGGGGAGAGAGAAACAATTTTGAAACGTTGAAAACAAATCTACAAGGGAAATTACAGAATAAAAATATATTGATATTTAAAATTTAAAAAAAAAAGTTACGAGAGAGGGGTGTTATATTATTTTAGAAATGGCATGAAATATACAAAAAAAAAACTCAAGGACCGATCACTCGATTTGAGATACAATAACTGTACTTGGAATATATTTGCTGGAATGTCGTATATTTATTCGAGCAAATCGACTAGAGTGTAATATTCCCCGGGGTCGCTTGTATTAGTACGGGTAGTATGCGAGACACTAACTTTTAGTGATAATCATGAGACATTCCTCAAAACTAAACATTTCTGAAACAACTTAACTAGAAGGAAAAACATCCCTTAAAACAAATTATATCTACACTAGTTCAAAATCATGGTAAAATAGACCTATATTTATCACATACACATTAGTTTAACACAGCCAAAATACGACCCTCTTGATTCCTCAAAATGTCAAAAAGTGCCCCCTTGCCTATTTTGAAGCTAAATATACAAACCATTGGGTGTCTCGTATACTCACTGGTATGTTTTTACTAGGTCCCCTCCCGACATTATCGCCATGGATTTGGTTTGGGGATTTTTTTTACTGGATTTCGCCATTCCCACCAAGATTGCCATTTTACAAGATTAAATAATCATATACTTCATTGGTGCATGGAAGATCCACTTCCACGGCAAAGTTGAAAAGTCTGACATCAGACCGCGGGCGAGAAAACGGAATACAATCTGGTACGGTGTATAAATATATAGTATGGTAAACAACATCAACAAGAATATTTCCGCACGGTATACTTTTTTTAGTGCGATACCCTATATGTATTCACTGCATTTTAATTTGTGACATTTTCCATTATTATAATGGAACTCGTTTCACTGACAAATTCACGAATTTAAAACCAAGGAATACACGTGCATTCAGTGTATATTTAAATAGTCACCTGGTACATACAAATAATTGAAGTGCAGATTTTTTGCCAAACTCGGGGAAGAATCGACCATGAACAAGATATTAAGGCTGCCATGAAGCAATGGGACTAATGTGAATTGGAACGAATCAACTTGTTTTCTATACCAACTTGAACACTTATCACGGTCAACATCTGCCACAGAGGGCGTAGTATGGAAGGCATTTAAACAGCGCCACCTATTTAGCAAAATGTTTTCTACGGCTCTTCTCAAGCATGGAACTATATATAGTTATAGTTCCATGTCTCAAGTAAGCTTTCTGTCATTTGTTTGAGGCTACTAGAATTCATTTTCAAATAATTTGTGAGTTTTTGGAAAATTTAACCACACAATGTAGACGTATTTGACAAATCGACCAGGGCCTCGGTAAATTGTCATCATCTTGTATCGTAATCCCCGAGGTTCGCCTGACAAAGCTGGATTTCAATAGATGGCTCTATGCTATCGATGTGCTTTGCTTTCATCTCCATATTTTGGCGATAACCGTTACAAATTGACAATAATGTTTTATTAAAATAAAAAAAAAAACGGAGTTTCAGCTATTTCCGCGTTAAATGTGAATCATAAAAGTATTTTTACTTCATATATAATCTGCCAATGACGTTTATCGAGTTTGCCAGTAAATATTTGTTTATTACATGTACTAGTATTTGATACATACACAGTGAATTAAATGTCATACCGGATTATTTTCATACTAATATTTGATAATACGCATGTTATATATACATGTGAAGTTCATGAAACAAATATCGCTTTTATCCTATGTGTATTTATATTATTCTTGCTTGCGTCTGATCCGGCTAACCCAATATATTCACCTGTTTCGTTCAATCCACAATATCCATTTTGTCCCGGCATTTTGTGACGGTTATTCCATATTATACCACGATCATGGATCTCAAATCTACACTCAGTTACAATTGTTCATTCCCACGGTCAATTCATCATTTTCATGTCAAATTCAGCGTTGTGTCAAGCGTAGGTTTGTGTCTG